TAGCTGAATTCTTAACACAGTCCACATTTAGATAGATCTTGCAAAACATTATTTTAAAGATTTGACAAACACAGATACAACACCATCATTTCTCATTATAAAATAATTTCTGCCATGAAAGACAAGCAGGCAAAGTGCATTTCTTCATGGCCACACAACCCTTAATTATTTGATTACTTTTTTGTCTAAATTATAATGTTTTATTTCTTTTGTAAGAAGGTAAATCCAACTTCCAAAAGTAACTACACAAATTTCTTCCTAAGATGTTGTTTTATAAGCTCCTCCTTTAACATTTGTAATCGAACGATCTCATAACAAGCTGTTATCTGTCAAATTTTAAAAGATTACAGATCAGATATGTTTATCTGAAAATGGATTAAAATACACTTAAACTAGCCACACCAAATTCTTTCCTAACAGCCGGGTGGAACAGTCGTTAAGGCGTCCATAAAGATAGTCATAACATTTCCAGTTTTCCTCTTAGCCACCAGCTAATGGATACACGAAAAGTAAAGTTTAGGTCAGTGGGTGAAGAGAAATACAGACGTTGTGATTTGCTGTTTTCATTAATGAGCGATGAAAAAACTGTTTAAACATTTAAAAATGTATTTTTATCTTATCAAGGTCTAAAATCAAGATGTAGTCACAGTAATCTATGCTGTCCTAGATACTATCGTTTTACGATAACTGCAAAAGTGATAACAGGCAATGTGGTTTAATCACGTTTTACTGAAATAGAGCAGCTAGAAAAAGTTTGTGAACCTCATCACAGCTAACCACAGCGGAGAAGTCACAGGAAAATATCAATATTTAAATGTCTTGGTTATTTTTATTTCTCCCTTTTCTACCTTTAAGGATTTACATCTAAAACATTAGTGTCATATGCCACTCAGGTGATCCTCAAAAATTCTATCAAATCTTAATTAGTCATAACTTTTGGATTTTTTCTAAAATGTATTTTTAGTCCATTTAGATTGTTTTATCAGATTGCATTCAAAACTGGTTGAAATTGAAAAAATAATTTCTGTTTCTTAATATGCTTCTGAACTTTTGTACTTGCGTACTTTTGAAACGTCATCGACGTTGGCCCAAGTACAGTTGTGGTCAGAAGTTTACATACACTTGTAAAAAACATAATATAATGGCTCTACTGAGTGTCCCGTTATTTCTAAAACTCTGATTTTTCTCTGCTAGAGTGATTGGAACAGATACTTCTTTGTCACAAAAAACATTCATAAAGTTTGGTTCTTTAATGTCTTTATTATGGGTTAACAGAGAAAAGTGATCACATTTGCTGGGTCACAAATATACATACAGCAACAAGAACTAGCAATTTTGGTGACTTAGAAACGTGTCAGTGAACTGAGCTTCATAGCATGGCCTCTTAACTTCTTGTGAGTGATTATGAGTGACTACAGCTGGTGACTTCTCCTAGGCCAGGTAAATAGGGCTCATTGGATACAAACGCCCACAAACGCTACAATGGGAAAGTCAAAGGAGCTCAGCATGGATCTGAAAAAGCGAATTATTGACTTGAACAAGTCAGGAAAGTCACTTGGGGCCATTTCAAAGCAGCTGCAGGTCCCAAGAGCAACAGTGCAAACAATTGTTTGTAAGTATAAGGTGCATGGCACTGTTTCATCACTGCCAAGATCAGGAAGAAAACGCAAGCTATCACCTGCTGCTGAGAGAAAATTGGTCAGGAGGGTAAAGAGTGAACCAAGAATCACCAAAAAGCAGATCTGCCAAGAATTAGAAGCTGCTGGAACACAGGTGTCATTGTCCACAGTCAAACGTGTTTTGCATCTCCATGGACTGAGAGGCTGCCGTGCAAGAAGGAAGCCCTTGCTCCTAAAGCGGCACCTTAAGGCTCGACTGAAGTTTGCTGCTGATCACATGGACAAAGATAAGACCTTCTGGAGGAAAGTTCTGTGGTCAGACGAAACAAAAATCGAGCTTTTTGGCCACAATGCCCAGCAATATGTTTGGAGGAGAAAAGGTGAGACCTTTAACCCCAAGAACACCATGCCTACAGTCAAGCATGGTGGTGGGAATATTATGCTGTGGGGCTGTTTTGCTGCCAATGGAACTGGTGCTTTACAGAGAGTAAATGGGATAATGAAGAAGGAGGATTACCTTCACATTCTTCAACATAACCTAAAATCATCAGCACGAAGGTTGGGTCTTGGGCGCAGTTGGGTGTTCCAACAGGACAATGACCCCAAACACACATCAAAAGTGGTAAAGGAATGGCTAAATCAGGCTAGAATAAAGGTTTTAGAATGGCCTTCCCAAAGTCCTGACTTAAACCCCATTGAAAACATGTGGACAGTGCTGAAGAAACAAGTCCATGTCAGAAAGCCATCAAATTTAACTGAACTTCACCAATTCTGTCAAGAGGAGTGGTCAAAGATTCAACCAGAAGCTTGCCAGAAGCTTGTGGATGGCTACCAAAAGCGCCTAATTGAAGTGAAAATGGCTAAGGGACATGTAACCAAATATTAGCACTGCTGTATGTATATTTGTGACCCAGCAAATGTGATCACTTTTCTCTGTTAACCCATAATAAAGACATTAAAGAACCGAACTTCATGAATGTTTTTTGTGACAAAGAAGTATCTGTTCCAATCACTCAATCAGATAAAAATCAGAGTTTTAGAAATAACGGGACACTCAGTAGAGCCATTATATTATATTTTTTACAAGTGTATGTAAACTTCTGACCACAACTGTACTTTTCAGATCCTAAGTATGTATCATGGCAAGCACGCTCAAAGTTCCCAGATGTGGCCTTGCTCCGTCCAATGTATCAAGGACGCATCAGCACATCCTTCTATGAACCTGGGCCATCAAGGTATCCCATAATGCACTGCATCACAAACCGTTATAACTTATTAACTAATTGAATTTCCCTCCGGGATTAATAAAGTATTTTTGAATTGAATTTGAATTGCACTTGAACGTAAAATGGCAGAGGAGAAAGCTCATAACAGTTTTCATATCAAAAATACTAATAATTAAGTCTAAATAAATAAACATAAAGTTGTCTATTATTGTAGATAATTGTTTGTAACCAGTAAAATTTGCTGCAATTTTATTATTTTTTTTACTCTTCACAATGCTAATTAGCTAACACACTATCAAAATGAAACCAACGTTGCCTTTTATTTTTAGTTTAGCTCATTTTTTTAACTGTAGCCTAAAGTGGCGCTTGTTGTCATGATTCAATTCAATTCAAGTTTATTTATATAGCGCCAAATCATGACAAGTCACCTCAAGTCACTTCACAGAGTAAACATTCCAGTACAGCTCAGTTCATTAAGCCAATCAGTAAAAGGTTTCCTATATAAGGAACCCAGCAGATTGCATAGAGTCACTGACGAGTGTCAGAGTCTTTACAACCGTCCTCATACTAAGCTGTATGATCCACCGAAGTACGGTCCTGTTCCAAATGTTGTCCTTGTACTCCCATCCCATCGGTAGAGTGAATGGTAAATGGCCTGTATTTTATATAGCGCCTTCTAGTCCTGGAACCCCCCAAGGTGCTTTACAACACAATCAGTCATTCAACCATTCAAACACACATTCACACACTGGTGGAGATGATCTACGATGTAGCTAAAACTGCCCTGGGGCGCATTGACAGAGGAGAGGCTGCCGAACACTGGTGCCACCGGTCCCTTTCGACCGCCACCAGCAGTCTAGGGGGATTAAGTGTCTTACCCAAGGACACAAGGACAGTGTCAAACTGAGCGAGGCTCAAACCTGAAACCTTCTGATTACAGGGCAAGCATGTAACTCCTGTGCCACCATCACCCCAGTTGACTGTATTTGCAAAAAACAGTACTATAAACTATGCAAGAACATACTAATAAACTTGGGTATTGAGAAATGGCCAGTGTTTAATTGGAAATTGTTGAGGGTCCCCTAGACAAAAGCTCTGAGTGGGAATACTTACTTACTAATACTTATTAAAGTTGCAACAGCCAATCTACAGAACATGCTAGATTTGACCATAAACACTCACCCCACCCCTCGGGTATCTTCGAGTATCTTCTGCCGGAATCAGAAACCCACATCGCCAGAGGAAACGAGAGCGCTAAACTCCAGACATCGTTTTCTAGGTCCAAACACCTTTTGTTGTCTGTAACTTCAAATGGGGTATCAGTGGCGTGTCCAGATCTTTTAAAATGGGGTGGCCCAGGTGAGGCACAACTTTGTGCATGGGTGGCACCAATGGTTATGCTTTTTTTGTTTTACCCCCAAGACTTTTGTGGACAATGAAAAGCCTATTTAAAGTTAAATTAGGGTGGTGGCACCTGGGGTGGCCAATCAGATTCCTAGGGTGGCATGTGCTACCCCAGGCCACTCCCTGGACACGCCCCTGTGGGGTATTCTTTTTGGGACTCAGGTAATTTGTCCTAAAGTTGAAATGGTAGCAGCCGGCTGTTTCTGCTTCTCTGATGTTACTGAGTGGCAAACCTCTTACCTCAGTGGTCTCAGGGTCCGAAATAAAAATTTTTTACTCACCAGCCAAGTTGGCTGGTAGATGATGAAAATCTACCGGCCAAGCATATTTTTTACCGGCCAAAATTCTAAATGATTTAGATCTACCTAAAGCATGTTATTCTATATTATGTTGATTCCAAACAGAGTGACAAAATAATTAAAACATCAATTAATAAGAAAAACAACTCTTTTATCATTTTTACTATTTATTTATTTTTAGAGAAGTTTTTATGAACTCTTTCACTGAAATCTAGTCAGACTCCTTGTTTTCTCTGTCCATGAAGTCTGGGCTTGTCACGGTAACCGGTGTAGCGGTAAACCCCGGTAAAAAAGTTGACAATAATAATAACCGTCTTGTTTTTTTTTTTTATATATTATCTCGGTGGATTACCGTGGCTGCGGCGTAGGCGCGTTGACCCTTACCAGCCACCATATCATCTGCTGAAGTGGCCGGCGGCACATGCGCACTTTGTTTACGACCAAAACTTTCTTGAAGCTAAAGCTGAAATAATGGCCGGAGGAGATGGCAGCGCGCAGGACATTTATTGTCACTCAAAGAAGACAAAGTCGGAAGTATGGGCATTTATTGGATATTTGAAGAATGCCGATGGACAGTTGATAGAAGACGGCTATCCTGTTTGCAGCACGTGCAGGAAAAAGTGTCTGTGAAAGGCAGCAACGCTTCAAATCTCATGACACATCTACGTGGCCATCATAATGTAGCAATTGCCTCACGACTCCGCCATCCCTAGTTCGCCACTTTTCACAAAATCTTCTGGTTGCCACTGGTCCTGGTGGTTTTTCTTCCAGTTCGACGAGTTTTCTTTTGGAAGGCTGGCTGACTCCAGTTAAAACCCGCCACATTTCACCGCTAGTTTTAACACGAAGCTAACTACTAACTTGATAAACTGACACAATGGGATAGGCGGAAATGACTTTGGGTGCGGCGCTCACGTTTCGCGTACGTTGCATGCAGGCGAGAGGAGTATCACAGAAATCCATGGAAGATGACTGATAAACATAACTAATTTGGTGCAAACATTTACTCGCTATGTGGCAGATAGAGCTCAAAAATTTACTCGCCAAATGGAGCAATTTGCTCGCATTTGGCGAGTGTTAAAGTACATGAGCGCATAATAAATGGAGGAGGATCCAGGGCCGCACTGCCTAGAGTAGCAGACAGAATATTGCAATTGATTTGTTTGCAATTTTCACTTCAGGAGTTGTTTTACATGTTCTGGTTAGAGTCTGGTTTATGTGTAGGTAACAGACCCTTTTGTCTGAATGCAGCCTGGTCTTTGTTAGCTGGCAGAGCTGTTTGTCAGAGAAAGAGAATGGGGACAGTGAAAGAGGAGGTATGGGAACTATTGACCTCTTGTTCGTGGGGTTTTCCCAGATTGTTCGTGGCAGTGACCACCTGTGATTTTGATGTAAAGAATAAGCCAAGAAGGCTTAAAACTACCAAGCTTGTCACTATAAAAATGCCACACTAAATTAGCTATATAGTAAATTGTTATATGGCTACGAAGGTACTTTACGTTAGGAATAATGGCAAAAGATACAAACAAAAACCCAAGATACTGTTATGTTTATATGGTTTATTTGACGCACCTCGTGATTTTTATCTTGAGAAGCGCTATATAAATGATCGTTTTCTTCCTCTTTCTTATCTGTTGCATCTGGCTTATACCATTTTCTCTGCCATCTGATTCTGTGACTCTAGGGTAGCCTGATAAAAGGGGGTTGGAACATAGAAGTGTTGTTTTGCTTTTTCCCCAAGAATGTGCACTCCATCTTTGATGTGCTAGCTGAACTAGCTTTTTCAGAAAAACACGTTTCCAGCAATATGCAAATCTCTTAAAACAAGCAAAATGTAAACAGGTTAATTTTTCTCTTATCTTCTAACAACAAGAACGTCAGTAACACAGAGTCGTAAAATAACATGACTATCTCTGCTGATAAGAAACCTATTAACGAAAATAGTTCATATCAGTCATTGCTCTATTTGTAATCTCTAATGGAAAACTATTGTTTTCCTGTTATATAAATTACCCAGAAGTGTCTTCAGCAGCAGGTTGACCCTCAGACATCGTAAAAATATTCACTACAAGATCTTAAAGTATTCAGCTGCTTTTTACCTCTCACAGGATCTTAAATATAGATCTATGAAGGTCTTAATTGCCATTTTGAAATGTGTTTCACTGTAACACTTAAATAACTCAGTGTGTCACGTCTACATGTTTGTGTGGTTCCTTGGAGCAACGAGGCCCTTTCACGTTGTAAAAACTATGAGTTGGCATCGTCATAAAAGAAAAAGAATCAGAAATGAGGCGCAATAAACCTTTGCTCCGTGTCATTTTCTTCCGTATGTATTAACAGTAGCAGCTGTGGCATTGACATGGGAAAATGTTGATTTTAAATAGCAAATTTACACACATGAAAGGAAACATGATTCAGAAAGAGAATGGTGCATGGAAAGGAGGTGAACAGCCTGATACAAAATGTATCAGAATTTGGAGGCCGTGTGTGTGTGTGTGTGTGTGTGTGTGTGTGTGTGTGTGTGTGTGTGTGTATTTTGGACTTTGCTCCCAGCTAGTGTGAATTTATCAGGAACACGGTCATTTTCAGCATAAAGATCCTCCGACTGCTTGTGAGCTGCTCAGCTGCTCTGCGTACGAGGTTATTTATGCCAAAAGAAATCCAGATAAAGGTGTTAGTTATTTCTTTTTTTTTTTTTTTTTTTTTTTTAGTTTAGAACATTTGTACATTCTGTTGCTTTATATTTTTTAAATAGAATCTTTTTTTTAAAAGGCAGCCATGATCAGCCGCAACTTTAAAAATGTGCTGGTGGTCTCTGTGGGGTTTCTGTCTCTGTTCACGGCTTACGGAGGCCTGCAGAGTTTACAGGTAAGTGTATTATTAATTAAAAGTACAAATAGTTGGATAAAACCTAATTTATTTAAAAGATATTTATATTGTGAGTATTACTCACAATTTATTAAGTAGAAATTGTATTTGAAAGAAACAGCGTTGACCCATTTAAAAGTTGGATTTAAAAATTTAAAATACGTGTTTTCCTTTAAACAAATACTTCAGATTGCACAAATTTTCTGATTGGTTTTAATTTGCCATTAAGCTCAACACGTGATATTTATTTGAAAGTAGATTTATTTATTTTTTTTACCTTAAAACCCAACTAAATTAGCTGTTAAAGAAAACATCCAAAATATCACAAATGAAGAAAAAAATACGACATGAAAAATATCTGTGTTTAATTAGCAGCTGCTTCTAGATCATAATTAGACCTAATGGAATATTTAATTTGAGTTTCCAGGACTCAGCAGAATATTAATTATATTTTAAGGAACAATAGTTCTCTCAAACAAATTTGACAAAGATGATTGAAAACATTGTGTTTACGTATTTATATTCTAAAAACGGCTGACATTTTTGCAGAGCAGTCTGAATGCAGAGGAGGGGATGGGAGTCGCGTCTCTGAGTGTCATCTACGCCTCCATCATCATCTCCTCCATGTTCCTGCCTCCCATCATGATCAAGAATCTGGGCTGTAAATGGACCATCGTAGTTGGCATGGCCTGTTACGTGTCATACTCTTTTGGAAACCTCTACCCTGGATGGTAACTTCTTGTGATGCTCTAAAGTCTTGTTAAAACCCTCTGGAGGAGTTGATTAAATATTTTTTTTCTTTACATAGAATGTATAGAAACTTGCTTAAATGTACTGATGCAAGAAGAAAAGGGGATGTATTCTGCATGTCTGAAAAAGGGTCAGAGGCATTTAGTGAATCAATCCTTAAGCTCTAAAAATAAAGAAAGGAGACTAAATGGTTCTCTGGCTCAACAGCTTTATCAACAAATGCTAGCTGGGAATCTGTATAAAGGCTCTAATTTTATGCCAATCCATCCAGCAGTCAGTAAGACATTCTGCTCTGTCACAGGTACACCCTCATCCCAACCTCAGTGATCCTGGGTTTGGGCGGGTCCCCTTTGTGGTCAGCAAAATGCACCTATCTGACCATATCTGGGAATGCGCAGGCTGCTGAGGAGAATAAAAAGGGTTCGGATGTGATAAACCACTACTTTGGCATCTTTTTCTTCATCTTCCAGTCGTCAGCCGTATGGGGGAACCTCATGTCGTCACTCATCTTTGGACAGGACAGCAGTATATGTACGTAGAGAACAGATTTTAAATCTTGTCAGGGGCACAGGAGGTAAATGCTCACCCCTTAATTGGAAGGTTGCAGGTTTGAGCCCCGCTCAGTCTGTCGCTGTCGTTGCGTCCGTGGGCAGGACACAACCCACCTTGCCTGCTGGTGGTGTTCAAACGGACCGGTGGCGCCTCTGACAGGTTGACTCGCCTTTATCAGCTTGCCCCAGGGCAACTGTGGCTACAATATAGCTCATCACCACCAGGGTGAATGGGTGAATGATTGTTTGTGTTGTAAAGCACCTTGGGGGTTCCAGGACTCTAGAAGGTGCTATATCAAATACAGCCATTTACCACCTGTCAAGACTTTGCTCAGGACTTGGTGGTAAAACTTTAAACCCTTGGTGACGTTTCGATAAAATTGGATCTGCGCCGGTTTAGTTTTTTGTTTTTCTGGTTAAATCAGTAGCAGTTGTAGTGACATGTTGTGGCCATTGAACATTTGCATCTTTTTCTTTAGTGACTGAGCCTCTGTCAACAAGAGAAGCAGGGAAGTACACCTTTTAATTGTAATAAGGTTAAACAAATCAAGAAATGACAAAAAACACTTCATCTTAACCAGATTATAAATTGTCTTCAAATCTAGTGTCTAGTGTACAAACAAGCTCAGATTCGAGTGCATTTTTATTTACTGAACAAAAACTAACTTTAGGTGACAAACTAAGTCCACCTTATGATCCAAACTGGTCCAAGTCTCAGTTGTTGGACAAACGGACTCACATTTGACTCTGGTGTCCAGGGTAGTCCATAGTTGACTGCATGGTGGCCAAATCTACAACCTTCTACCGCTGTGCTGAAAGCTGTTATTCAATTAGACTTTGTTGATCCCAAATGGAAATTAGATGTTACAGTAACATTTATTTAGGTTTCTTCAAAGAGTCACAGTAGATGGTATGAGGTGTTTGTGCTTGTATGCAAACACAACACTGTGCGTTTTTGTCAGATTTATCTAAAATTTGCAGGAACCAGATGAACTTTTACTACATCTGGAGACAATAGAAAAACATCAAAAAGTATCTAAATCATTTTTGCGATGTTCATTTAGAGAACAAGACAAGGTGTGTGGTGACAAGAGTTGACGTTATCATGTGTTAATTACAATATGGTTGTGCTTCCTTATCAGTTTATATGATGACCGTAACTTGTTGGAATAGTTTCTTGGAAGACCGATGCACCAGTCCCCCCCCCCCTCCCCATTTCCTGCACTAAAAGACACTGATTAGATTCTGTAACCTGTATGTAATCTCTTTATAATTGGTAAACAGCTAAATTGATTCATATTCTTTATAATTTTCAAAGTAGGCCACAGGTTAACAAAAGGCAGCAGAACCAGGAAATGTTCAAACTAAATCTTTAACTTCAAATTTACAGTAGAAGGCTTTTAGTTAAACACTAGAACTGAATAAAAAGTGGTTGAACACTCTAAAGGGTGTATGTTGAACCTCTGAGCGCTACCAGGGATAAAAAAAACAACTTTTTTAGTCTTTCATTCCTTCTTTATGCTTTTTGTTAATTTTAATGTTTGAAATCAAGATTTAAAGCTTCCATAAGTGATGTCCTATAAAAGCTCAATGTCTTTTTGGTGGAAAAACTTGAGTAATTAAACTTTCCTCACTGATGAACTTTATCACTTTTACTTGTTAACGTTTTCAGCCAATATTCCAGAAGAAGTGCTGGAAACATGTGGAGCAGCCAACTGCGGCCTGAACATCACAGTCAACAGCACGACCAGCAAGCCTCCACAGACACTGGTGTGGACGCTTGTTGGGAGCTACATCGGTAATTCCAGAGTTTCCTTCTGTTTTGGTGGAGGATTTCCATCCATCAGGACAGAGTGAATGTTTTAGACGCTTGTCTTTGCTGTGTTGTAGGGGTGGGTGTGCTGGCCATGATCATAGTGGCTGTGTTTCTGGACAACATCGACCAGGAGCAGACAAGCCAGTTTCGTGAGAATCGGGAACCGTTCTGCCACACTTTCCTGGCCACGTTTAGGCTTCTGAAGGACTGGAGGCTTGTGACGCTCATCCCGCTCACCATGTACAGCGGCTTTGAACAGAGTTTTCTCTCAGGGGAGTACACTAAAGTAAGAAATTTTTTTTTAAATATACGAACATACTTAAATTCCTGCGAAAAGAAAGGCTCCCTAAGTGATGACTGGACTAAGTGATGATGAACCTACTTGAGCAACAGGACAGATAATTGTTGTGTGTATTTGCAGAACTACGTAACTTGTGCTTTGGGGATCCACTTTGTTGGGTTTGTGATGATGTGTTTTGGAGCGTCCAACTCACTTTGCTCCTTCCTCTTTGGGAGGATTGCACGCTACATTGGCAGAGCTCCTCTCTTCTTACTGGGTAAAATATCTTCAATGTTTCACAGATAAGAGGCACTATCTCACCAGGCTGCAACTGTTTGTGACAACATTCACAAGGGATCTTTCTAAATGTCTAAAACTCTTTGTCTAGAATTTGTTTTTCCAAAAGCAAGAAATTTGATAAAGCTTTGAAAGGGTAATTCTGAGTGAATCAAACTTGGAAAAAAAGAGGATTAATTATAAGAAAGGAGGCAAAACGAGCAGCTCTTAGGCACAAACTGGGACAATGAACTGTAGAATAAAGTCTGTCCATTGTAGATGATGGTGACTTGAAAAAATCTTCTATAATCATAAAGTCATCAAAAGTTTTAAATGAATCCAGAGTTGACCTGAGACCCTAGAAAACGCAACGAAAAAAGTTTTTGCAGTTTTAAATCAATTTAATCACTGATGGTTGCAGCCCAAATGAAGTTGTAAATATATATATGTGGTTTTCTTCTTGATAAAATGTGGGTCTCATGTTTGTGTTCATTTCCAGCTGCTGTGACCAACCTATCTTGCATCATTGCTCTGTTGTTTTGGAGACCTCATCCAAACCAGCTAGCTGTCTTTTTTGTGTTTCCTGCTCTGTGGGGGATGGCGGATGCTGTTTGGCAAACTCAGACTAATGGTAAAAGACTATTCTTTTATATATATATATGGAGAGTGCATTAGCAAAAATGAATAACGCAGTTAAACATACATACATACATACACACATACGCACACACTGCATAAAACATCACCAAACCAACCCAGAGTTTAGCTGAATCTCTGCTAATTTTGTTGTCAAAAACAAGCAAAGCAATAAAATCCAACATGCCTCCAACATGCCGGGAAAAAGCACTGAAATTATGAACAGCAGTGGATTTCTACATGTATTCTATCGATCGCTTTAGTGAAAACAGCTGGATCTCATTTTCTTCCTCTCCTTTGATTGCAGCTCTTTATGGAATCCTTTTCCCAAGGAACAAAGAGGCGGCTTTTGCCAACTACAGGATGTGGGAGTCACTGGGTTTTGTTATCGCCTTTGCCTACAGTACATTTTTGTGCCTGGAGTACAAACTGTACATCCTAATGGCCGTTCTGGTGATTACTATCATAACCTACCCTATAGTGGAGTACTACGAATACAAGCATCCCACACAGCCGGTGGAAGAGGGAGCCTATCTCAGCCACAAAGAAACCATGCAAACAAAAGTGGACGAAATTATTGCCCAAACTGAGATGTAAACATGGATTTTGTCAGATTGTTTTTCATTTCTGGCTGCTTGTGAGGGACCTAACAAAGGTCCTAATCATTTAGATCAATATATACTTCACCTAATAAATACTGTATGTAATCAGAATGTTAACAATGTTCTTAATGAGCTGTCCACTTGACTCAACTAGCCCATTGCTATTTTCACTCTGCCTTCACTACCAGTCTGCCTCTTTATGGTTCTGGGTCCAAAACAACGATAAAAAACAAAAACAAAACTAGCGCTAAGTAATTTTACGAGGCACTGGAAAACAAGCTGCTGCTAAAAAGGTATTGAATGGAAAATTGTATAGTCTTCAGGGATCCTTTTAATCGGAATGTCTTTGTATTAATAACAGTTTCTGTAAATTCCTTCAAAATTTGTTTTTGTAGAGACAAATATAAGAAAAATGTTCAGAAATATATATTTTTTTAAATGAAAACCTATATTCAGGGAGACAATGAAAGTGTTATTTTATATTTTTGAAAAACCAACAGTGAAGAGTCATTCCTAATACCCAGCAGGTCATGTGATTAATGAGCCATTCCTTTTTTAATCCTGTATTTAGTTTATTGAAAAGTATTGCATCTGCCTTGTGACCCTTTTCACAAAAAAGTATAGTTTCCATGTTTACTCGTAACAACTGTACATGCTGTAAATGATGATCACTTAAAACATGTTTAATGCACCATGTCAATGACATCTATTCCTGTCTGTTAATAAATATTGATAGAATAATAAATATAAACACTCTGCTGTCTTACATTAAAACACGCAACCAGTCATTTTATCTTTGCAAATAAAACATTTTGCTTTACAAATTTGAATTTAGCATCCTAACAATCACAAAAACAATGCAATAAAAATGCTTATAATTCCCCTAATTAGACCAACTTTTGTTCACCATTATGTCATCTGCTAATCTCGATTGCTAATCTATTATATGTATTGCTAATCTATTATATGTCTATGTCTTCTATGGTTAGAAAACACTTGCTATGAAAATTCAGTGTTTTAGAGAAAACTTATTGATAAAGTAAATATTTGAAGGCATTCATTTAAAACGCTCGGCTGACAATAATAAAGCATCTCTTAATGTCCCTTCATGCTCTTATTTTGAAGAGCTGCACCACAGAGAAATAAATGGGAGTTTATAGAGTAATCTTGTATAATAGCTGTGATGTCAACGTTGACCAAAGCAATCATGACTATTTTTTAACAAATAAGCAGCCCTAGTTGAAGTGTTATTTGGTATTTTAAATAAGGGCACTTGTGGTTAAGTTTTCGCCGTTTACTTATTCAGCCAGCAACACATACAACAGCGACCGTCGTTGCCCAGCAACCCGTCTCCTTATGCATCACTCCGCGCTGTGCTCTTCCTATTGTAAAATAGACCCTAATACAACACTAGTCATACATGTAATCTACATTAAAACACTGGACGTGTGTGAGTTTAAAAGAACAAAATCTGTATTTAAATCTATGTGTCCAGCTATGTTGACAGCTTAAAGAGCAAGTCACCCCCAAATCAACTTTTTTTTCTGATAAACTATATAAATGCGTGTCTAATCGTGCTGCAGACACGTGTAGTCAATAGTTTTGCACTTTAGTGCATTTTAGTTAAAATTTAAATTTTCTGCCTAAAACTGTCAGTGTTGTGTCACGTGTGCCGGTGAATGAAGCCGAGGTGAGGCGAGGATCCAGACTGGGGAGGAAACAGGCAGACAGGTTGGATTTCTTACACTGACTTTAATATGAGACACGCTGGACAATGAAACAATGGACCGACACAAGACACAGAACAGAAGGGGCTTAAATACACGAGGGCAGGGAGCTAAGGTGATTGGGAAACGAGAGGCAGGTGGGAGCAATTAACGAGACACAAGGCTGAACCAAAACGGACAGTACCCCCCCCCCCCCCCCCCTCAAAGGGCGGATCCCAGACGCCCACAGGAACAAGGAGCAGGACGGGAGGAGGGGGACCCGGAGGGAGGGCCAAGAGGAACCAAGGGACCAGCAGAGTCTGGGGGCCTGCGCCTGGGGCAGAGGAGGAGGCGACGGGCCCTTGGAGGCCTGCGATGGCGGCAGAGGAGGAGGCGAAGGGCCCTTGGGGGCCTGCGTCTGCGGCAGAGGAGGAGGCAACAGGTTCTTGGGGGCCTGCGTCTGCGGCAGAGGAGCTCTGCAGGCTAGGCTGGGGACATAGTCTCTGCAGGCTGGGCCGGGGACATAGTCTCTGCAGGCTGGGCCGGGGACAAAGCCCCTTGGACGGGCTGGGCCAGAGACAAAGCCCCTTGGACGGACTGGACCGGAGACAAAGCCCCTTGGACGGGCTGGGCCAGTGACAAAGCCCCTTGGACGGACTGGACCAGAGACAAAGCCCCTTGGACGGGCTGGGCCGGTGACAAAGTCTCTGCGGGCTGGATCGGAGCCTCGTGGAAGGGCTGGACCGGATACGGTACGACCTCCAGAACCACCACTGGAACCGGAGAAGGCGTCCACCACGGGACTGGAGACGGCGGAGACGTCGGACCAGAGGGAGCGTCGGCCTCTGGAGTGGAGGGAGCGTCGACCTCTGGAGTGGAGCGAGCGTCGACCTCGGGAGTGGAGCGAGCGTCGACCTCTGGAGTGGAACGAGCGTCGACCTCTGGAATGGAGCAAGAGTCGACCTCGGGAGTGGAGCGAGCGTCGACCTCTGGAGTGGAACGAGCGTCGACCTCTGGAGGGGAACGAGCGTCGACCTCTGGAGTGGAGCGAGCGTCGACCTCTGGAATGGAGCGAACGTCGACCTCGGGAGTGGAGCGAGCGTCGACCTCTGGAGTGGAACGAGCGTCGACCTCTGGAGTGGAGCGAGCGTCGACCTCTGGAGTGGAGCGAGCGTCGACCTCTGGAGTGGAGCGAGCGTCGACCTCTGGAGTGGAATGAGCGTCGACCTCTAGACTGGATGAGGCGTCGACTTCAGGTGAGGCGTCGACTTCAGATGAGGCGTCGACTTCAGAGGAGGCGTCGACTTCAGATGAGGCGTCAACTTCAGGTGAGGCGTCGACTTCAGATGAGGCGTCGACTTCAGAGGAGGCGTCGACTTCAGATGAGGCGTCAACTTCAGATGAGGCGTCGACTTCAGAGGAGGCGTCGACCCTTGGACAGGAAGAGGCGTTGACCCTTGGACAGGTAGAGGCGTCGACCCTTGGACAGGTAGAGGCATCGACTTCAGAACACGAGGAGGCTTCGACTTCAGAACATGAGGAGGCGTCGACTTATGAACACGAGGAGGCGTCAACTTCAGAACACGAGGAGGAGTCGACTTCAGAACACGAAGAGGCGTCGACTTCAGAACTGGAAGAGGTGTCGACCACAGGACAGGACAGGGCGTCGACCACCATCGACTTCTGGTCCGGGGGCGTCGGCTTCTGGTCCGGGAGCGTCGACTTCTGGTCCTTCGACTTCTGGACCGTCGACCTCTGGACCGCCGACCTCTGGACTGGAACTGGAACCGTCTGCTTCTGGTCCGGGGGCGTTGGCTTCTGGTCCGGAGGCGTCGACTTCTGGTCCTTTGACTTCTGGACCGTCGACCTCTGGACCGCCGGCCTCTGGACCGGAACCGGAACCGTCTGCTTCTGGTCCGGGGTGTCGTCTTCTGGTCCTGGGGGGTCGGCTTCTGGTCCAGAGGCGTCGACTTCTGGCCCTTCGACTTCTGGACAGTCGACTTCTGGACCGCCGACTTTTGGACCGGAACCGGAACCGTCTGCTTCTGGGCCGGTACCGTCTGCTTCTGGGACGGTATTGTCTGCTTCTGGGCCGGTACCGTCTGCTTCTGGGCCTGAACCGTCTGCTTCTGGGCCCGAACCGTCTGCTTCTGGGCCCGACCCATCTGCTTCTGGGCCGGATCCGTTGACATCTGGAGTGGAGGTGGAGCCGCTGCGGGAGGGGCTGCCTGGACAGGCTGCGTGTGAACCGGCGGTGCTGGGAACAGGGAGAGCAGGGAGGACAAACCATCCAGCTGAAGCTCTTTGAGGCTGAGCGTCCGGTGGAGCTGGGCCAGCTCAGCCCGGAGACCGGCGAGCTCCGCTGGGTGGACCTCGGGCTTGCTCCTCTGGCTCTGAGATGAGGGAGCTGCAGGCTGGCCCGAGATCTTCTCCTGGCGGTTCGGGGAGGTCAGAGCGTCCAGGTGAGACTCCTGGAGGCTGACGAGCTGGCGGATCCGGCCAAGCTCCGCTAATGCTACGTGAGTTAGCTAAATTTGTATTAAGCATAAGTTAGAAAACTTTTTTATTAATACTATGTAATCATTGAAACAGATAAAAAAACAGCTATGTGTGACAGCAACTATAAAAGACAAACCGAAAACAGCAACAAACTACCAAATTATTCACTTGCTTACTTGGCTAATTTGCTTTTCAAAAGTCTCACCAGCAAGATAGCGCGACCTTATTATCCGGGTACTTGAGCAGATGGGCTGCGTCAAATTCTTATGGAAAGATGAAAATTAGCTCTTTGTGGCTTTGATTATCCACTGTTTTAGTAGTTTAAAGCGTTTTCATCTTTTTTTAATGTACTTTTATTTCCTATATTTTCTTTTTAAATCAGTACTGTTAAAGAGACAATGTGTAATTTTTACCACTAATCTCTTGAAATATTCATCAAAATGTTGTTGAAAATGAATAATATGATGTCCAGCTGTTGTAAAATATTGGCAGTTTTGTAAAATATAACCATAAATATCGGGTTTATGTACACTTTCCTTAAACGAAAGCCCGTGAGGACAAAATGCATTTACTGATTTTTGACAAATGGTTATAAAACTTTCAACATTCATAACTGTTGTATTACACATTTACCCTTCAGTTGTTGCCAGTGATGAAAGGGGGTCTGGTGTGCTTATTTTGCTGGAGGTAGCGCTCCCAGGGATTTTTGACCCTAATGGTCATCCATTGGTTAGGTCTTACTCGAACACAAAAATAACACATGCTTGCAATGATTTAGGTACAGTTGTGGTCAGAAGTTTACATACACTTGTAAAAAATACAATACAATGGCTCTACTGAGTGTCCCGTTATTTCTAAAACTCTGATTTTTCTCTGATAGAGTGATTGGAACAGATACTTCTTTGTCACAAAAAACATTCATGAAGTTTGGTTCTTTAATGTCTTTATTATGGGTTAACAGAGAAAAGTGATCACATTTGCTGGGTCACAAATATACATACAGCAGTTCTAATATTTGGTTACATGTCCCTTAGCCATTTTCACTTCAATTAGGAGCTTTTGGTAGCTGTCCACAAGCTTCTGGCAAGCTTCTGGTTGAATCTTTGACCACTCCTCTTGGCAGAATTGGTGAAGTTCAGTTAAATTTGATGGCTTTCTGACATGGACTTGTTTCTTCAGCACTGTCCACATGTTTTCAATGGGGTTTAAGTCAGGACTTTGGGAAGGCCATTCTAAAACCCTTATTCTAGCCTGATTTAGCCATTCCTTTACCACTTTTGATGTGTGTTTGGGGTCATTGTCCTGTTGGAACACCCAACTGCACCCAAGACCCAACCTTCGTGCTGATGATTTTAGGTTATGTTGAAGAATGTGAAGGTAATCCTCCTTCTTCGTTATCCCATTTACTCTCTGTAACGCACCAGTTCCATTGGCAGCAAAACAGCCCCACAGCATAATATTCCCACCACCATGCTTGACTGTAGGCATGGTGTTCTTGGGGTTAAAGGCCTCACCTTTTCTCCTCCAAACATATTGCTGGGCATTGTGGCCAAAAAGCTCGATTTTTGTTTCGTCTGACCACAGAACTTTCCTCCAGAAGGTCTTACCTTTGTCCATGTGATCAGCAGCAAACTTCAGTCAAGCCTTAAGGTGCCGCTTTTGGAGCAAGGGCTTCCTTCTTGCACGGCAGCCTCTCAGTCCATGGAGATGCAAAACACGTTTGACTGTGGACAATGACACCTGTGTTCCAGCAGCTTCTAATTCTTGGCAGATCTGCTTTTTGGTGATTCTTGGTTCACTCTTTACCCTCCTGACCAATTTTCTCTCAGCAGCAGGTGATAGCTTGCATTTTCTTCCTGATCTTGGCAGTGATGAAACAGTGCCATGCACCTTATACTTACAAAACAATTGTTTGCACTGTTGCTCTTGGGACCTGCAGCTGCTTTGAAATGGCCCCAAGTGACTTTCCTGACTTGTTCAAGTCAATAATTCGCTTTTTCAGATCCATGCTGAGCTCCTTTGACTTTCCCATTGTAGCGTTTGTGGGCGTTTGTATCCAATGAGCCCTATTTACCTGGCCTAAGAGAAGTCACCAGCTGTAGTCACTCGTAATCACTCACAAGAAGTTAAGAGGCCATGCTATGACGCTCAGTTCACTGACACGTTTCTAAGTCACCAAAATTGCTAGTTCTTGTTGCTGTATGTATATTTGTGACCCAGCAAATGTGATCACTTTTCTCTGTTAACCCATAATAAAGAAATTAAAGAACCAAACTTCATGAATGTTTTTTGTGACAAAGAAGTATCTGTTCCAATCACTCTAGCAGAGAAAAATCAGAGTTTTAGAAATAACGGGACACTCAGTAGAGCCATTGTATTATGTTTTTTACAACTGTATGTACTGCCCCTTATCGCCATGAAAAGTACACATCATCACCTGAATTTTTATGTGTATGTTATGTATAGCAGTCAATGATTGCAATAAATGAACATTTTTCATATGCAGTTCTTAGATGTTCCACTAGATTGAATGATACGTGCAGAATATTTGATAGGGTCATCCAGTCACTTTGTTTTAGGAAAGTTCTTACATACTTTCAAATGGATGCATCAAATGTGATATCTGACTTTATAAGGTTTATCATGACATTAATAGTTAATCTAACACTCTGACAGATATAGGCAAAGTGCATTATATTTATATACGTGTGAAGGTTACTATTGCTTTGTATTCTGAGTTTTGTAAAAATTTGTGAAAAAAGGAGAACACCTGCTTTAAATGACAGGGTTATCATGGGCATTTGAGATTAGTTTTGATGGTTTTCCTCTTATGAGCCTAAAAACGTCACTCTTTTTTGCCATAAGCATAAGAACATCATCTGCAAACTCTTAATATAAAAACAATCAAACTAAAGAACAAACCACACACACACATTCTGCATTTCAGATGGTGCTTTTATAGCAATGTGTTGCATTCCCACATTCATAGATGTTATAGATTTGTTAGTCAAAGCATCATTTCCACAAGGTTGGCATCCTCACCTTGGGAAAAAAAAGCAGAGGGATCAAATGCACGAGGTGTTTGTGTGTTTTGAGTGTAGAGAAGTGTGTGTGTGAGTGTATGTGTAAACTTGAGCAGCCACGAACATATAAAAGAACAAACCTCCGAGTTTAGACTTCCAGTAGATGAAAATAAAAGTTTTGTTTGTCTGTTAGCCTACAGGGCTCTCACTCCCCGCAGGGACTGGACCCGGCCTGAGACTGATTGTCTACAACATTCCAAAGAAAAAGGTAGATTTCTTTAAATTCACGTTACACACCTGAAAAGAGGAGGCCGGTTAAAAAAAATCTGAAAAAAAAAAGAAAGAAAGAAAAGAAAATACAACATGCATAAAATTCTCCCAGATGAACATTGTCACTCATATTGTCTTGTAATAGCTGCTCCGATGCCTCTTTAAAAACAAACTTCACATGATATACAAAACTGGACAAAATGAGTAAAATGTATAATATATATATCTATTTATATTAAATTTTACAAGGGAGGAAGTGGAACCTTGGTCTCATTTCTAAAAATTTCCAGAAAACACATTACCAACCAGATTTAAAAAACAAAAACAAGTGAGATGTCAGTAAATATACTAAGCCTTCGTTTAAAACCTACGCCACAAATCCAACCCGTCTCAATAAGGCAGCACTTATAATACTTATCAGCTGATGCTGTGGTGTTTTATGTTTTGAAGACCTGCGTTAGGAATGAGTTGGAGGTAAATAATATATATATAAAAAAAAGACTATGGAGTCTCAGTGGTGCAAAAATACCCAAGCTTCTAACTTGTTCTACTTTGTGAGATTTCAAACATTTTCCAGCATGATCCTGGTGTCAGATACCTCCAGATCCTCTACAAAAGGAAGCAGCAAACCATGGAGGAGAGGAACAGAGACACAACTAACGTGTTGTCATTTACATCAGTGCACATCAGTTTTCTGAAAGAGGTCAAGTCTCAACACAGTCAGACTTCTGACACAAAGCGAGCATCCAGCTGCAGGAAGGAAGTAAACGCCGGTTTTGAGCAGGAATGTTCAGAGTTGAAGGAAGCTTTTTTTAAACGGTACACCTGGAAGCAGACGGCAGCGTAGAGAGGAGGGACGGGACGTCACCTGAAGAATAGCATAGTACTAATACTGAGGACTGGTTGGTGCAAAAGACGGAACAGAAAATGACATCACACTACAAACAGCCAATGACGTGAACTATTTCTAGATGTTTTGATGACGGAAACCCTTTGCAGGACCTGAGCAACTCGTTCTACTTTAAATAAAATCACCACAGCGGTTTATTTGGGACGTTACTCCGAACGCTGATTTGATTGAGACAGTTTCCGGTGGCCTTTTCACTGAGCAGAGACGATGTAAAGTGCAAAATTAGATTGTATTTGCAAATTCCCGGAATAATCTGATTCATCTGTGAGTAAAAAAAAAAAAAAAATTTAAAAAAGGTCCTTAATATAGAAAACCTTTAAAATGCGGGGGGGGGGGGGGGGGGGGGGGGGGCGCTTTTGTTTAAAAAAAAAGTAAAACCCTGGTTAACAAGGTTAAACAGCAAAGACGCAAACTTTACTGCTAAAAGTATATACAGGAGGCACCTCAAGTTTGGTATAAAGTATTCAGTTAATGGCAAAGTATATTTAACCTTTAAGAATGAGACTGAAAGGTGAGAGGTCATCAGATGTGGACAGGGGGTTTGTGTTAACTAAACCAGTGGATGGCTTAGTGCTGCTCCAGTGTTACATTTACAGACACTAGGAAATGCTTAAGTAAGGTGCATAGCTAACGGTAGCAATGTTTCTGGTTTTCCTGTTAACACGTGGTAGCACTTCATGTTGCCAAGACCTCAATGGCAACGTCTAAACCGACCAAACTTTGGGACACGACAGGAATTGATGCAGATAGGCCACTTTGAAGGACAACAAATTAAACGGTGGACAGCTTTTAAGACCAACAAACACGAGGCAGGATGAGGACGAACGTGCAGAACGAGGCTACGCAGCGGTGTGTCAGAAAAAAAGAGCCGCTACTTTATGTGTAGTCCAGTGATGAGGTTTGCATATGAAATCCATTTAACATGTTGAAGCTTTGGTCATTTTCTACTGACAAATGCAAAAAAAAAAATCTACCTAAAACAGATAAAAGAATTAAATGAATCTACGCAACAACCAGGCAATGCTTCTCCTTAAAACCAAGGCTCCACTCTCCCAGATCTGCTTAAACTTTTGACAACAGAGGAAATTAAATAATATGGCCTTTTACTTTTTTCTTAAATTAACCCATACAAAGAGCCAGTCCACACTGCTTCTCTTTCAGTAAAATCACATTCAGCAGTCGCTAAAAACCATTCTCCGGCATAGTTATCTGAAAACACCCACAGGTACTGTGCAGGGTCTAAAGAGTAAAAGAAGAGAAGAATCGAACAGGACATCTTCGTCTTTTCCATCTTAGAGAACACCAGATATACAGTATTGATCACTTACACACACCACACACACACTCATCGATAGTCATATACAAACATACATCAGAAAAAATAACCAAAAAAAAAAAAAGGTAGAAAAATCAAAATAAAAACATGACGGAGGAGAGTAGTTGTTTTTTTTTTTACCACAAACTCAAACGGTTTTGATTCTGAAAAAAAAAAAAAAAGGAAACATTCACATTTCTGTTATTTACATCATGTAATCAGCGGTATAAAAGAACCCGGTACCTGTAGTGATGGAGGGATTGTTTTTCCACTTAACGGCTGTTTGCATAAAACGTCTTACATTTGCATCGGGTGTAATCAGCATGTTTTAGTTGCTGCAAGCTGACAGTCGCTGCTAAATGTCTTCGTCTACAGAGAAAACTGCTGCTGTGGGAATGCCTAGTCTATGCAGGGGGTGGGGTGGTCGAGGCTGTGTGTGTGAAATATCTCAGCGGGTCAACTGAAAGCAGAAAACCTTAAATGAATCATTCCTTTCCAAAAACCACAATGCAAGACCAGTTTTACATCTGCTGAACAATAAAGATAATTTGGTTTGAAATCAAAAGGCTTTTCCCCAGGTGTTAAATTTATTTGTTAAAATACAAACAATGAAGAAAATTGTCACCTTCAAACAAAAAGGTCCGAAAGACTCTTCAGTAAACAAATAAAATCCTCAGACGAGTTTCCTCTCCGGAGGACTTGGATGAAACACTTTAATCAAACACAAGGAGCGGATGTGAGAGAGCGTTCTGATTGGCTGTTACGCTCCGTGAACAAACTGTAGTATTTTAGACACTTGATTAAAAAATAAAGTTTAAGTTTAAACAGTAAGAAAAAAATAAAAACACAGATTATTCAAACTTTTCAGCCTTTAAACTCGAAAGATAAGATGCTAAAGACATCACTAATAATACGAGTAGATTTGAACCCTTTCATGATTAAATACATTGAGGAGCATCTGCAACCCTCATATTTGTGGTGTTGGATATGAAAAAAAGCTTCTTTTTGTCATTTAGAAGGTTTCGACAAGTTTTCGGTTTGAATCTAGAATCTCGATGTGCACAGCAGCGTCACAACACACAGCCTCGTCTGGGAGGGAGGATTGGGGTCGGAAGGTGGAATGTTGACCTCACTGACTATCCCTCTTTATCCATTGCATATGGTGAAGAATCTCTTTGAAACTGTGTACAGAAAAGCCTTACTTCACAGAATTAGCATCAGACTTGTTGGTCTAACGTGAGCGATGAGTTGGTAGTTTGAGATTAACAACGCAATGAAATCTCCTTCCATCTGAAAGCGCTCTCTCTCTCTCTCTCTCTCTCTGTGACACAATCGCTCACCACCAATCTCTCATGACAGAAAGGAAGAAAATAAAAAGTCACACAGGACTGACCGAATCCGGGAGCGCAGCATTAGTTTCGTTGCGCTGAAGCACAGACGGTGGAATAAAATCATCCGATCGGACTGAATCACTGACGCTCCCTGAAACCATCAGTCCTCAATTTTAAACACATTTTCAGAACATTCAATTATTATTTTAAAACCTTTGGGCGCCGCGTGTCTAAGCTAATTTAAACATTTCAATAGAATATCCAGAGATTCTGTTTGCAATCATTTAAAGAATATTTTGAGGAAATATCTCATAAAATTTTCTGTGCATAAAAAGTGGATTTTTCTCTCCATAAAACTTTGTCAACAAAAGAATAAAAGCTGTGTGATGTCACTCAGAGACAGTGTATGACTGATCAACAGTAGTCAACAGAAAACTGTACATGTGAGCAACCAGTGGAGTGAAGTCATCATTTGGGAGGGGATTAGGATTATGTAATCCTCACAAACAAAATAATAATCCTTAATGGGAACAACACTGTTAGGTCAGGAGGAAATGAATTTACCTTCTCGTTATCCTTTTAGTTTTGATTCAAATTGATGACAGCTTCGAATTAATCATGTTTGTTAGGAAGTTCTAAAACTAACGTCTACTCAAGAGTCGCTAAACGGGAATCAAAAAACCGAGTCGTTTGTTGCGATTAAAAGCACAAAACTGCCAAAAGCCGCAGCAAAGAACACGATTTATAAAGTTTTACACAAACATGTACCGTCTGAAGGCCTTTTCTTAATAGTTTTGTTCAAACAGTACATGGAAAAATATTTCTGAAATGAAAAGAATAAAAGGCTAACTAGCTCCCGCTGACCAGGATGCCAAAAGGGAGCATCTTCTAGATAATTTGCTTTAAAAGAAATCAAATTGCTTCAAATTTTCACATTTTAGAAGCTGGAATAATTTCCTCCCCCGTCGCAACGTGTAATGTGTTATAAGATGCCAAAAATAATCCCAAAGACATGAGCGGACATTTTTAGAACCAGATTTGAACTGAGGAAACAAAAACAAAAGAAAAGATTCAAATCACATTATACATAGTTTTGCTGTTCTGAGTTATCAATTACACTTTTTTTTTAAAGGAAAGGAGTTACAAGAGATGAGTTAGCTCACTCCCAAGTCTTTGTCCTTCTGTCTGTACAATACTACCCGCCTGCATGGTGCACCTGGCAAACAACACTGATAGGCTGAGAGAAAGAGTGAAGATACACAGAGATAAGGAGAGGCGGAGCCCGTCGGGACTCCGTTTTCACAGCTGCTGAGGTGAGGGTAAAATGTGACGGACAAACAGTTAAATTATCATAACAGTCTCTTTTATACTTTGACAAAAATAAAACCTCCTCCCGAAAGGGGAAAGACATCTAAGTTCCAAAATGAGCAGCATCCCCTTTGTCTCCCATCCATCCATCCATCCATCCATCCATCCATCCATCCATCCATCCTGGTTGTTGTCAAAGACTGTTCTGAAGATGATGACGACGATGATGATGACGATGATGGTGAGAGCAGAAGATTTTAAACAGTCCAACCAAAACAGAAAAATAAAAACAGAATAGAAAAATATGAAAAAGAAGAAGCAGAGCTTGGGAAAAAAACTCACACTTCCATCAGGCACTGTAGCTGATAGAAACAGTGACAGAACCAGCTGATACTGAGCTTCTATCCCACAATGCCGCAGAGGTCGGAAACCTTAAAACATTCCCACATCGCTGAGAGACAGAAAGAGACGACAAATGAAAAACCAACACAAAAAGCCAGAGGTGCTGCTGCGTGGGACGCTCCCACTCAGACGCTGCGTCTCCCAAGATACTGCTGCTGCAACGGCACGAAAAAACCGTCTGATCAGAGGAAAAATCTTAAAAATAATAATAATAATAAAATACAAGGTCGGCCCTGATTGGACAGTGACAACAACTTGGCAAATCTACAATGACGTTGCAGTTGTTTTCTTGGGTCAGGAAGCAGGAAGTAGGTCACAGAGAAATGAGCAGCAAGACAACACTGCCTTCAATAGGCTGAGGCAGAGAGACAGGTTGTCAGACAGATTAGACAGGCAGGTTTGAACACACTGCTGCTCCTTCTGGTTTTCTCTAATTACTGGGCGCTGAGACAACCGGCCCCGAATCCCCCTGCAAAGAAGTGGTTAGGGCTCCACGGACAGCCACACCTCTCCACGGGCTTACTCTGTGGCCATCCGTCCATCTTTCCATCCATTCGTCCATCCGTCCAAAAGGTGAGACAGAGACAGCAATGGGTCTGGTGCACCAAACCTCCAGGGAGGAGGCGTTTAAGTGAGAGGGGAGCAAGAGAGCTAACGGGCTAGGGGTGTCACTCAGTGAGGAGCTGCTGGAGGAGGCTCTTCTGCTGGGCCTGGTTGCTCTGGGGGCCCTGCGCTCCAGGGCCCTTCTGAGGGGCCGCCGACCCGATGGCGCCCTGGTTCAGGTAGGAGTCGCTGCCAACGAGGTTCACTGTGCATTGGACATCTGCAAACACCTGAACCTGCTGCACCTAAGGAACCACAAAGAACAAACAGTCTGAGTGTCTCATTGTGGACGTCTCTCCAAACTGTGTCCAGAGGTTCTCGATGGAGCTCAGCCTCAATTTAGTTTCTATGAGTGAAAAGTGGAAGAGAGCTTTGGAAGAATGTGAAGACCACATTTTGATCGAGATGAGGAGTAAACTGCAAACAACTTAAAAGAACAGCGAAGACGTTTAAAGAGTGCGATTTTCATCATAAGCCTCAAGCGACCCAGACACGTAAAAGTGTTTGCATCTGCAACTAGTCATAGACCAGCAAAGGTAATTATAAAAACTCCCCATAGTGTCAGTCTGGCAAAAAATAAACATCCCACCACCAACGATGGGCGGAGGGAAACAGCAAAACCGAGACATCGGTCCGAAATGAAGATCCACTGACCTGCTGGTCGCTGCACACTGAACTCACGTCGCTGAGGTCACTGTTGCTCATTCCGACCGCCTGTCCCATGGGAGGTAAAGAGCTGACACCACCAGAGCCTCCAGCCATGGAGACAGTGATGCTCATGTTGTTGTAGACCCCCTGCTGGCCAAACGGCTGCCCTGCACCCTGCCCCGACTGACCGAACAGGCTGAGGCATAAAACCAACATTCTCAGGCCCTCGACACCCAACTCAACACAGAATGGGCTTTAATCACTAAATTAAACGCTCTGAGCTCACCTGCCCATGCCTGTCTGTTGCCAGCTCTTCATGTCTGGTGACTGGTAGCCAGGGGGTGGGGCCTGCTGGAGCAGAGGACTCTGGGAGGTGGAGTTCTGAGGTGATAACAACGGGCTGGTGGGGCTCAACTCAGGAGGAAATGGTGGGTCTTGTTGGACCACAGCTTTGGAGGAAAAAATATATTACTATAAAATAAATGTAGTAATGTTTATTCATCGATCTGGTGTTAGTCTGAACTCACCAGACCCCCCAAACTGCTGAAAGAGGCCCTGCTGCAATGAGGAGTTTACGTTGCTATCGAACTGGCCCTGCAAGCCACCCATCAGCGTCTGGCTGCTCAGAGGAACTCTGATGGACAGCTTGCTGTCCAGAGGCCCCCCCGACACGGGGCTGAAGTGACTAGGTGAGGTAGGGGTGTTTCGCGTCATCGCGTTGTACCCTGGTGGGAAGTTGAACTGCTGCTGGGACGTCGTGGGGGGGACTTTGGGGATCCTCGAAGCTCCAACTGGGCTTACCGTCCCAGCCGCCATGTTCTGTCTCATGAGCATGACCTTCTGCTGGAACAGCTGGCGCTGTCGGTGCTGGATGCTGTAGAGTTCCCTCTGGCGCTGAGCCAGCATCTGAGCATTGAGCGGAGGCTGCTGGGGGGGTGGGAGGAATAAAACATAATTATACAACAAATGAAGGAGAAAGTGAAACTGGCCAAACACTGATCTAACCTCAGGTCTAGGTGTGGGTGTGGCGTATCTAAATCCTTGCATATTTCTGATGTGTTTTCTTGGCTGGATATATTACAGAGACAAACAATAAGCTGAATGACGCTAACATGCACTATAATTGTCACGGGGTTGCTTGCTGCAGCTACACAGTCACCTGATGAGTGAGCCAGCGGTCTTTTTGCCACAGTTGATCCGACTCACCTGTAAGGGCATCTGGGGTTGCTGAACTTCCGGACGAATCCCATTGTTCACCGGTTGGGCTCCTCCTGGAAACGAATTCATGGCCGCCAGCCGGTTCTGGAGCAGAAAACACAACAAAGAAAACAATTACCACAAAAGGATGAGAATGCCAACAAATAAAAAAAAAAAACAGAGGCTACGTTACGGAGGAGTGGACAGAGGAGTCTGACAGGATGTGAAATGTGCTGAACGTCAGGCAGGAGAGAATTTCTCTAAGAGCTTTTTGATCAATATTACTAAATAAGATGATTCATCATGATAAAGTACGATTTAGACCAACGCAGAGAGCAACAATCAATACTCGAGTGCGTCTGCCTTTCACTTGTTATGGGTAAAATGTTGGTGTTTGGTTAACGGTGCCATAATGGTGAGAATAAATTACACTCATGACATCTCTCAGCATTCGCGGCAGCGGGTGTGGACATTAAAAGCTCTGCGTCGATGACAGAAAGTGTTGATTTAAAAGGGTCTCCAGCTCTAACTTTGGTAAAGAACTCAGAACCAATGAGCTGGAAGTCTCCTCACCTGCTGTGGACCCTGCAGCCTCTGCTGCAGCTGCAGACGCAGCTGGTTGGGCGGTAGCCTGACTTGCACGCCCAACCCCGTCCCTGTCGGTCTGGTCATTCCTGGTCTCAACCCAACACCCGCTGTCCCGCCTGGGAACGCCCCCCGAGGGGCTCCAAACCCCTGACCCTGTTGCCCCGCCACGGCCAGCTCTGGAGGAAACTGTGAAGCTGGTGTTAACTGGGAAGTGTAGGTGGGGGCTTTGGAGTCCATGGGAACTGGTGTGGCAGTAGGTTGCTGGGAAAGGAAATTCTGTGGAAAAGGGTCGAAGCAGCCACCCTGCAAGGATGAAAATGAATATTTCAGACACGGGGAGAAAAAAAGGATGGTTAGGAAACTGAACCACAACCAAGAAGTCAAAAATATTTATCTGCTTCATTCAGTACAATTTTTTTTAACAGAATTCTGCTCATCTTTTGCTGTAACAAAATGAAAGACTTTCAAACAATGTTGGCAAGACGGCATCATCATCCTTCCATCGTCACGGCGTCCCGATCAGCCACTCGGAGCTGGAGTGAATGATTTTATTCACTAACCTGTACCAGTTTGTCGATCCCTAGGGCCTTGTCCAGTTCGATCAGCTCGCTCTCGTCCGTCCCACTGAGAAAGGAGACGAGCTGCTCTATCAGAGCCTTCTCATCGTTTCGGCCTTCGGGTGTGATCGGGGGTACGAGTTCTTCGTCCAGTGTACAGGGCACACACTGCCTGCTCAGAGAAAGAGAAACCAGTCTATAAGCAACTCCAAACCAGAGGCTCTGACTGATTTTTTTATGCTTACTCTTGAGGTGATGCTAAGGAAGCCTGTAAAGGAGCTACGATTCCATCAAAGGACAAGGATTCGGACAGGGCCAGAGGCTGGAATTGGGAGTCTCCCACATCCATTTTGGTTAGCCCTGGAATAGAATACAACACTGTTTAATTGATAAGATCATCCTTTACCAACTAAAAACTAGAAATGCTTTCTTGATTTAGCTGACAGGTAAAAATATTTGCCATGATTTTACATCGCTCTCTTGTAATGGACACAAACAGAATATCCACAAAATAAATCTAAATTTTAACACTAAATATGGGAATTTTTAGGAAAATGTCCTGTTGTGTCGTTATAGGTACCCATGCTTGGACCAAAAAGGTTGATAACTTCAGCCTCTGGAAAAGAGCTGCTGTCTTTGGAGTTCTGGGAGGGGTCTCCCTGGGCCTGTTGTTGGCTTGGAGTGGCAGGATTGCAGAAATCAAACGTCGACTGCGTCTGGAGGCTGCAGTCGGAAGGTGGACCGCCATCGCTGAGCCCTGCTTCCCACACACAGAGATGTAGAGGTTGATGTAAAATGACCACACACGCAACTAAAATAATAAAAAGGCAGGATCGAACTCCGTACTTGTGCAGAGCGTCTGAATAAACGGACAAAGTACTCGCTAGACCAGAAGTGACCAAACTTTTCATCAAGTTTAAAGTCCTCACCGGCCACAAAAAAAAAGATTTTCTTCATTTAAAAAAGCAAAAATCTTTACATCAGCAGCCTGCTGGAGAGGCAAGATTCAGCCATTCTAGAAATACAGGCCCTTCTCAAAAAATTAGCATATTGTGATTAAGTTCATTATTTTCTGTAATGCACTGATAAACATTAGACTTTCATATATATTAGATTCATTACACACAACTGAAGTAGTTCAAGCCTTATATTGTTTCTAATATTGATGATTTTGGCATACAGCTCATGAAAACCCAAAATTCCTATCTCAAAAAATTAGCATACCATGAAAAGATTCTCTAAATGAGCTATTAACCTAATCATCTGAATCAACTAATTAACTCTAAACACCTGCAAAAGATTCCTGAGGCTTTTAAAAACTCCCAGCCTGGTTCATTACTCAAAACCGCAATCATGGGTAAGACTGCCGACCTGACTGCTGTCCAGAAGGCCATCATTGACACCCTCAAGTAAGAGGGTAAGACACAGAAAGAAATTTCTGAATGAATAGGCCGTTCCCAGAGTGCTGTATCAAGGCACCTCAGTGGGATGTCTGTGGGAAGGAAAAAGTGTGGCAGAAAATGTTGCACAATGAGAAGAGGTGACCGGACCCTGAGGAAGATTGCGGAGAAGGACCAATTCCAGACCTTGGGGGACCTGCGGAAGCAGTGGACTGAGTCTGGAGTGGAAACATCCAGAGCCACCGTGTGCAGGCGTGTGCAGGAAATGGGCCACAGGTGCCGCATTCCCCAGGTCAAGCCACTTTTGAACAGGAAACAGCGGCAGAAGCGCCTGACCTGGGCTACAGAGAAGCAGCACTGGACTGTTGCTCAGTGGTCCAAAGTACTTTTTTCAGATGAAAGCAAATTTTGCATGTCATTCGGAAATCAAGGTGCCAGAGTCTGGAGGAAGACTGGGCAGAGGGAAATGCCAAAATGCCTGAAGTCCAGTGTCAGGTACCCACAGTCAGTGATGGTCTGGGGTGCCATGTCAGCTGCTGGTGTTGGTCCACTGTGTTTTATCAAGGGCAGGGTCAATGCAGCTAGCTATCAGGAGATTTTGGAGCACCTCATGCTTCCATCTGCTGAAAAGCTTTATGGAGATGAAGATTTCATTTTTCAGCACGACCTGGCACCTGTTCACAGTGCCAAAACCACTGGTAAATGGTTTACTGACCATGGTATTACTGTGCTCAACTGGCCTGCCAACTCTCCTGACCTGAACCCCGTACAGAATATGTGGGATATTGTGAAGAGAAAGTTGAGAGACGCAAGACCCAACACTCTGGATGAGCTTAAGGCCGCTATGGAAGCATCCTGGGCCTCCATAACACCTCAGCAGTACCACAGGTAGATTGCCTCCATGCCACGCTGCAGTGAAGCAGTCATTTCTGCAAAAGGATTCCCGACCAAGTATTGAGTGCATAACTGAACATAATTATTTGAAGGTTGATTTTTTTGTATTAAAAACACTTTTCTTTTATTGGTTGGATGAAATATGCTAATTTTTTTAGATAGGAATTTTGGGTTTTCATGAGCTGTATGCCAACATCATCAATATTAGAAACAATAAAAGGCTTGTACTACTTCAGTTGTGTGTAATGAATCTAATATATATGAAAGTCTAATGTTTATCAGTACATTAGACAATAATGAACTTTATCACAATATGCAATTTTTTTTTAGAAGGACCTGTGCATGTAAAAGCTGCACAAAATCTTCCTGATTGGCTGCAGCCTGCCGCAACAACTAGGAAATCCCAAAACTAAGTATTTGAAACACATTGCATCATATCAAATTAAAACTAATTTTACACTTAAATGGACAAATACATAAAAATGTGTTTTTGGTAAGTGGTTAATTGAAGGAATAAATTGGTGCAAAAATGCATTCAATTCTGGTCTAAAGCTCACATATTCCCTATAGTGCCCCCAAGTGGCAGAAACATGCTATAACATTTAGATGTTTGTGGAGAACTACAGAAAGATGGCAGTAATTAGCCAGGTCTGGGGTGTAGACTCACCTCGAGAGATCACAGGGTTTGTGTCGTTATGACAGCAGATGTCCTAAAATCGCCCGTCTGTTTTATAACCAATGCTTTTCAAAAACAGTGTTTCTGAAAAATCATCTCTAATGACGCTGCACGCTTCTCATTTACCACATTCGGTGGTTTGTGGGAACAGGTGAAACATTTCATGTCAGCAAAACTTCAAAACAAAGCAATTTTTTTTAAGTTCTTTTGATAAGTAGTTATCCTATCATTTTATGCATTTTGGATCAATGATTGGATGTATCGTTACGGCCCTACTAACATTAAAAGAACTGACTGTGACGGCAGCGCTGCGTGACGCTCTGACCTGCTTTAACTACAACTCCTTGAGCTTCTTCGTCTCTTGGTAAAAGTGGTTCCTCTTGCAGAACCAGTTGCTGGTACCGAGACAGAACCGGTTTTTGGTGCAAGTTTCGGTAAACTCAGCAGCCTGTTCTGAGCAATCTCTGGTTTAGCACTGGAACTGGTTTGGTAGAAAGCCCTCTACAGCATGCTCAAGTCCTGAGAAGCAGATCTCTTCTGACTTTTAGTCTCAGTTTTTCTAACAACTTAACAGCTAAACAAAGACTTTGTGGGTGTTACCTGCTGCAAAAACCCCTTAAAACCAGCCCAAGCACCTGTATGCATAGTTTCATATGTTTAATTAAAACAAAGACCTCCTGGAGATGAAACAGTACCTCTGTTAGGTGCGCCGAGAGGCTCTCTCTTCACATTTACACTGCAGGGTGTGCAGGCCTCGCCGGGCTGGAGAGGAGTTGGTGATTGCAGTTTGAGCCGCGGGGACAGGGAGTGAAGCTGGGGGGACGGGGACTGCAACGGTGGAACGGACTGAGGCTGAGACAGGGGGGAATGGAGCTGAGGCACGGGGGACTGGAGCGGAGCCGGAGGCAGGGTGGTCGGAGACTGGAGTTGGGGGCCTCCTCCGGGATTTACTAACTCCTCGCTTCCCTGTTTGGCCTCGAGCGGGCCTCTGAGGCCAGGAAGAAGCTGGTTGAGAGGGGCTTTATCAACGGGTCCGAGAGATATCTACAGGCAGGAAGCAGAGATAGTGGTGAAATGCTGTAAATAATGTGACGACTTAAAGCATCTGTTAAAGGAGCTGGGGGAAGGGGGACAAACAGTCAGATGTCTGAGAGTTTAAAGGCTGCAGCTGGTAGCTGAATGGAAACAAATCAAAGAAACAAACATTAGTTTAAAGCTGCTGTTGGGTGACTTCTTATGTAGATCTGAGCTGAAAGGCAAAAAACTCAACTTTATTTGAAGATTTCTGGTCCTTTGAAGCTTTTTTAAAACTGAAATGCCAAATTTATTCTCCCAAGATCAGTATATTGGGATTAGGGACCAAAACATGAATCGTGATTTTTTTTAAAGTGGTTTAGTTACTGATTTAAGGAGGGTGCTTGATCTTAGACAAATAATTTTTTGCATAAATTAAGTTGAGCTCTACATCTAAAGTATGCAATCTATAATATCTAAAATACTCTTTATGAATATGATGTGATGGGTTCAGATGCAGGTGACTTGGGTCGTACCGTGACGTCTCTGCTGTCTCGGCCGTTGTCTCCGAGAGGACTGGATTTGGGGCTGATGCACGCCGAGCTGCTGGAGACTCCGACTACTTTGGATGCTCCAACAGCTGAACCGGAACAGGGCAGCCCATCCCCGCTGGTTCTCTTCTCCACTTTTACTCTGACCGTCTGTAGGCTCAGGGCTGATGGAGGTGGAAGATCTCCCAGTTCCTGGAAATTTTAATTGAAATGAACAGTTAAACATGGTGCTGATTATGTTCAAAAGTGGGAATTTCACAGGCAGCAGAAATCTGTAAAGTAGGATTATCACGTTTTCATCCGTGTCCAGGAGGAATCGGAGTAACTGGTGGTCCTGTGGCTCTCTGGAGCCGGACTTGTGAGGGGCTGTGCTCAGTGCCGGACTGACAGGCGGCTCCTTCTTAATCTCCACGTCGTTTTTGTTTAATCCAACCTCAGTGGCGGTGGAGGCATCGTTTGGACTACTGTCTTGGAGCAGCCTGTGCAGAATCTTGTGTCGTTCTGTCAGACTGCTGTGGGAGGCGGGACACTGAGGGGCAGGGGAAGGGTTAGGTAGATGAGGTGATGGGGTGCAGTGGACGCTGTTGTTACATTCAGCTCCTGTCCCACTGCAGTCCAGGAGCTGGCTGAGTCTGGGATTCCCCGGCTGAGAGGGAGAAGGAAGTGGGAGTTTAGAAGAGTCCTCATCCCCTTCCTCCGAGGACTTTGCTGACAGAGGCCGAGTGGAGAAGCTGCTGGGTGTACTGGCTTGTCTCTGAAGTCCAGGAGAGGACAGGGGGAAAGACCCGGATGACCCACCAGTTGCACCAGTATTACCATCACCACCAGAATGCTGCCTGTTGAGGCTGCCTCCACTGCTCAGCGCCCCCGCTGGGGACTGGAGGCCTGGTGTGGAGGGAGAGAAGGGGTTTCCAGGTACCCGAGGGCTCCCCCCTAACCCAGGACTAGCCCGCGGCATCCTGGGTGACATAAACGAGGTAGAGGTGGCTGTGTGTGGACTGCTGAGAGGAGAAGGGCTGTTGACCTGCTGGGGACAGTTCGTCCGACTGGGCGTCAGGTAGCCTGTTGGTGTGGTTGGGCTGTGTCCGAGGGGGGAGGTGTTACCGTTGTTGGTGTGGAAACTGGAGGTTGCAAGGGGGACAGCGCCTTGGTTCGAGTTGCTGCCGGGAGGAAGCAAAGGAGATCGAAGGGTCACTGGATCGGGGGTGGCTGGAAGGCTGGGGTTAGTGTTTTCCTGAGAGCTAGCAGTGTTGTGTTCCCTGGGAGGAAAAACAACAACAAATATCTTTAGAAAACAACACGTCACTGTCTCATTCATAAGCATCATAAGGGATGAAAACATCTTCTATTTACTCACAAAAACTGGAATGACTGACCTTAAAAAAATAAATATTTTCTAAAACTTCTGTTTTGTATTTGTAGTCATTTGGGCCGATGTGGTTATAATATTATTGTGAAACTGTGAGAGGAAACAACGTGCTGCGTGACGGGTTCTAGGTCACCTCAGAGATTCTGTACAACCTCCACATTTCAACTTGTGAATCAAATAAAAAGAGCAGCATGGTTGGACACACCGTTGCCTCACGCCAATAAGGATGTAGGTTTGAATCCTGGCAGCAGCCTTTCTGTGTGGAGGTAGCGTGTTCTCCCCATGCAAGTAGTTTCCTCCCACAGACTAAAAACATACATGTTGTGTGTGTGTGTGAGAGAGAAAGAAAAAACTACCTGTCAATAGTGTGAATGCCCATAATAAAGGGCTGTACATCAGGGTTGGGGGGGCAGCAGAACTTGCAGCGAGTCTGAGCGCTGAGCATTGTGCCGTCACTTAAGGTGAACTGGTAGAGCGGGCTGACAGCGGTGCCGTGGGTCATCACTGAGGGACAGAAAATTAATAACACCATTAAACAGAGAGAGATGGAGCGGATCAACACTTCCTGTTTGTGTTTAAATCCCACATAGGTCAGTTACTTTCTTTAAACTCATTCAGAGAAGTTCTGGACAGCAGTAGACATCATCTGGTGCTGGTTCATTATGAGAAAAATCACATTTTCTTCAAATATTTCTGAGCTATAAAAAATAAACTAATGCTCTACCAAGAACTAAGGTTTAAAATGTATCTAGATTTAATATTTCATGATTACATCGATCAATCAAGTTAAAATTGACATAAGACGGGGAGTGTGTGTGTGTGTGTGTGGCTGCTCACCCTCGTGCAGCAGCTTCTTGGCGTGGGAGGGCTCTTTGCCCTGTGGCTGAAAGAAGGCGTAGATACACTTCCTGACCAGGTCCTCCCAGCCAGACCGGCCTGTCGCTCGCAAAGCACTCGTTTCTATGGAGATGATCTTCCCTGGATTAGAGCAGCACACACAGACACACAAAAGATCAGCCTGCACTGATTTCAACAACAGCAGCAAAGGCAGGAAGCTCAACACCGAGACCTTCATAAAAATAAAATAAACCAAAACGGAGAAACGTCTGAAATAGTTTTTATTTTCCACTTAAATTCTGAGTTTGTTCTGTTTGTCGTCTGTGAAAAAATTTAAAAGTAACAATCTAAATCCCCACTTTCCCAAAAATTCATCCCATCTCATATTAAATTTCCTTAATCAGCATGTCTGCTACATGTTTACTATTAAAGAGAGTTTTACCTGTGGGGTCCTGCTTCGTTATAAAAGACTCCGTGCTGACAGGCTGAGAGCGCGGCGTCCGACAGGCGATGCAGATCAGGCAGCTCTGCAGGTCTGTAAAAACACAGAAAACACAAACAAACCTTAAAATATGAAAGAAAAACCCCTATTCTAGTTGTAAAATAGTATTTTTCTAAACATACCTTTCATGCTGCAAACTAAAACTTGATGGTAGACAGTGAGTGTAAAAGAAAGCGTTAGAAAAAAATAATGCAAAAAGCTCAGACTGACATCTAACATTCATTTAAAAATGAAAACACTGCTGAAGTTTTAATCTTGAATATCCTTCAGAGAAGCAGGAACAAATTATTAAAAACTAGAGTCATGGACGGGAAGAGAGTGTGACATCCCACAAGGCCAATTCTTATCAAAATGACTTAAAGCCCACAGACTTAGACAAAAATCTGCAATGCAGAAACGACATCACGGTATTCGTCAAGGCCACTGCGCCAACAGACTCCAAAATATCTCATCTGTCCTCCAACAATCTGCCGAGGGTCCAACCGGAGAGATAATGAAAGGCTGTGAAAGGGTGACGTTCAATCTTTCCTTTCCTCCCATCTGAAACTTTCAAGCAGTCGCAAGAAAAAAAAACATATTCATCAACAGTTTTCTGGTTTCTGTGAGTTCCAAACCAATTACTTTTTAGATTGGATTCATTCTTGAGATAGTCAAAATATTAACGAGAAACAGAAAAAAGTCAAAAAAACATCAGTGTCTGAAAAGATGCGCCTGTAGAAGCACCTCGAGGGTTTTATGTGGGTTCAAATTAATGCAACAGATACATAAAATAACAAAGAAAATATATTCATGCAGATATGTCTGAAGGTTTGATTTAACGTTACAGAAGGGATCATTTTATTATTAAAAAACAGGCTTTCCATAGAAAAAGGTAAATCTTTGCTTCAACAGAGATCAAAAATATTTGGGTTCATCTGGACTATTTATGAACCCATTAACATAATCGCTGCTCGCCCTGAGGAGAAGCTAATTCAAGCTTAAATTTTACTGTAGGCCCATTCAAAAAGCTACACAGAACCAATAGATCTGCAGAAGAAGCTGCGATAATGACACGTTGAAACCCAGAGAGGTGGTCAGTGTCACACAGAAACGAGACGTTGAACTGGAGCAAGAAGTTCTCGCAGGTGGCGTCTAAACGTACCGTCTGCCTCCTCCTGAATGGCCCGCGGTTGCGATACGGTGAAACACTGCATGATCTCATACTGCTGTCGGGCCTCCAGGTTCTCAGAGTCCGCCTCATCCGGTGGCCTCTTCAGCATGCGACAGTTAAAGGTGTGGCTGTTCCTGCGACTTGCTTCCTGTGGCCAGGGGACGCCGTTTACTAGACAAACGCAGAAAAGGGAAAAGATGCAGTCTGAGGGCCTCGGTTCCACAGTTTCACTGTAACGTTCCAAACGTTTTAATATTAGCATGTTGTTTTGTTATTAAATACAAAAGAAAAGGAAATAAAACTGAGTTCATGAAGCAGGTGTTTTCCAGCTCCTTACAGGGTGGTGATTAATGCAAGCCTGAACTAAACAACACTAAACATTTTATTAACCCTCCCACTGTCCTAATGGGTGACCCCGCGAGGAAAGTTGACCGTTGAGCAGGGTTGACGGTTTATCCCTTGGGTCCATGTTGCAGGGGTGAGGAGTGAGCACCAACTCACCGCTGCCAAATGGACCTCAAGAGATAAACCATCAATCCTGCACAATGGTCAACCTTTCTCGCGGGGTCACCCATAAAGACAGTGGGAGGGTTAAGAATACTAGCACTTTAAAACCCTTACCATATAAATTCAAGTGTTTTTTTTATTCAATAAAAACAAATACATAACAGTTTTATTAAAGTAAATTTTCTCAGTTCTAACCCCTCATTTGTTGCCTTTGAGCAACAGGCAAACAACTAAACTAAGGTATAAAATTTATGATACGTAAAAAGTAAATCACCTCACAGAAGAACTGCTGTGTTTGGTCATTTTAACAAACTTTACATCTGAGGATGAGGTTTCTACAGGTTTTGACGCTGATAGCTGAATCCTAACTAAAAACGACCTTGTCATCCGCTGAACCCGGCTATCTTTTCTTCACGACTCATCCGTTGTCATTGCAATCTCTTCTCAGGGTTCCACCTCAAAACTAAACTAAATACTAAAATAACGTCATCACACTGAATAGAGCCTTAGTGCCGACTGACACTAGTTATTTTGTTTTTCTGCCTTAACTGGAGCACAAAACTCAAACTTTATTTAAAATTTTTACAGTTCACCCTCCTTCCCATCTTTAATATTTTCCTCTTGCTAAACCAAGTTAATTAGCCGTATCCAAGATACATAATTTGCTGCCAAAATGTTCATTGCCCCCTCAAAGTTCTTCATTTCCATGGAAACTGCTTCATCATGAGAGTCCTGAAATGTAATAAATTCCTCCACTTATTAATGAATGAAGCATTTTAAACATTAGGCCACAGCCTCCAGCTGCTCAGTCCAGCTCAGCTCACTCACCGAGGCTTTTAGGCAGCAGATTACGAATAAATTCATTGTGATCTCCCACGTGAAGGATGCTGTAGACACTTGAAGTCATCAGCTCTTCCTGGGTGTATCCAAGATAACTCGTCACGTTCTCAGAAACAAAGACGACGCGGCCCTCGCGGTTGACAACGAAGAAGAACCCATCAAGGGCCTGAGTCAGGGGCGAGAGAGAGAGGGAGGATGAGGCTGAGTTGGTGTGATAGCCGAGCGTGAGTCTGTGGAGTGTCTACCTCCAGCAGCAAGGGGCCCAGCGCCTCTTTCTCCACCAACCCCTGGCTACTGGACGAAATGTCGCTCTTCTGCACATCATCATCTGGTGATAGGAGAGCTGCTTTTTCTGTTTAGAGGAAAGAAACAGCAAATGAATCCTGCAGAAAAACCATCTCCATGTTTGATTCTCTCATCTTACACGTTGTGCTGCATTTGCTCACCCTGCTCACGCCGTTTGATCTGCTGGAATTGGTCCACGGTGCTCTTGAGGATGTGACACTTGTCGGGCTTCACGCTGAGACTGGCGATGTCGCTCATGTTGGTGGACAGCAGCTCAGCCAGCTCCTCAATGTAACGGCACTCCAGTTCCCGTCTCCTCTTCTCCAAACTGTGGGAAAAGCACAGAATTAGATTTATCCTATCCTGATCCATCAATGCTTAATAAATGTATAACAAATACAATAATGATGATGATAATTTATTTACTCTACGCTTATAATAAATCCAGTTTAACAAAAAAAATTGAAGTGATAATAGAAATTAATACTTGTAAGGTTTCAAAGGAAATAATGGTGCTCATTAGTTATTCCAACTGTGATTTTTAGTTCAAACATTAGAAGCTGGGATGAGATAGCACTCAAAACACTTAACTGTCCCTATAGGCAAAATACAGCCTAATCATTCAACACCGAAGCTTTTAAACTGTTGAGTGAAGGGAACAGAGAGGGAGGAAGTGAAAATGGGAACCTGGTGAGAAACCAGAGGGATGAGAAAAACCTGCACAATTCTCTGTTCTGTTGAAAGAAATCAGAAAGGAGATGAAGGGAAACTTCTGAGGAGATTAAAGAAATGATCATTTTGATGCAGGAACACAAACATAAAAATAACAACACTGTTGGTGATTCTCTATGAGGGTAAAGCATTTAATGGAGGGTGTTTGAGGGATATTTAATGATTTGAATATTAATAGAGGATGAGTTGTATCTGTTAAAGTGTAGGGCTTTCATTTATCTGGTACTAGCTGGTTCGGTTGCATCTTTAAGAAGTTTATCGTTGGTTGATTTATTTTGGCTTTAAAGGTTCCAGTTATTAGATTTTAAATTAATCTAAACATTTTAATCACCCATTGGTGAAAGGTAGGAGTTTGCCTCATTGCCCACTTTAATGAGACTTGAAGAAGATGATCATTATCTAGAGTAAAACCGATTCAAGATGGCCAAAGCTGATGCACTTAACTCATTCACTGCCATTGATGACTAAAAACGTCATTTGCATTATTTTTTATTGTGTGGGCGTCGGAACGAGACCCCGCACTGTGAGAACAAACATCTCTGCTCTGAAGCCGATCTTCATCCGCGTACATCACACGTCACATGATCAGGAAATAGAACATCCATGTGTTAGGAGATCATTTTGGGCCGTTGCTGTAAAAAAGTGAGGCGCAAACCGGAAAAGCGTCTGCCGATCACAATTCAACAACGGATTATGAAAGAACGGATAACGCTCAAAACGCACGGATTCTTCCTGATGTAAGAGGTGTCTCCTCTTTGTTTTGGCATCGACATCAGCCTAGCACGCAACGTTCTGTGACTCTTAAAAAAACCGTAAAAATGGTGATAAACGCTGTGGCAGCGAAGCGCTTTACCAATCAGGAAACGGGTGGCAGTGAATGAGTTAAAAGAACTGCCTAAGACTCAGTCAGGTTAACAAATATTGCGCTAATCTTGATTGTGCCAGTAGCCTAGAGACTCCGTGGCTACAAATTGTGAACGTTCCCTTCATGGTTTAGAACAGTTTAGAAAATACTCAATGAACAATGTGACACAGTTTCATCAAACTTTCAGAAAATGACCACTGGGTCAACTACTACAGCTGTTAACATTTAAATAGGACCAAATTCAAAGACAGCCAGAAAAATGGCTCAAATTCTTTGATTCTGTGAAGGAATCCTGTAATTTTGTGCAGAAGTTTGCTCAGCCTTGCTAAATCTAATCCAATACAGAAATGTCTCTCTCTCTTTTTAATACACAGGTGGTTTGAATTATTTGTGTTAAATATCCCAGAACTGTGCAGCAGTCAAAACGTTTCCTTCAGACTGCATCGGTTTTCCCTCCAGCTGTGGCGAGTGTGTGCAGTTTGATCAAACTAAACCATTTTTTGCAGAAACCCACAGCTTCAGTTTCCAGTTGCAACAACATGCTTACAATCATGACGAGTAATATATGTGTGACAAACACAAGGAAATCAAAGTGCACACGTGTGTGTGTGAGAGAGAAATGACGACAGCAGAAGTAGGTCAGTACGTTGGCCTGCCAGAACACACGGGCGTGGCGAGTAAAGGTGGGGGGGCTGTGAGAAATGTGCAGGTCAGTGGCTGCAGGTGCGCTAGCTGAGCTGTTACATCAGCCTTTAGGACTCACTCACTGTACAGTAGAAACACACACACTGTAAACCTTTAAGCTCAAACTAAAAATGAACCCAAACAAAAACACTCAGACTGAAAAGCTCCTGATCAAATCAAAGACGAGGATTAGAGTTGACCTGACTGAACAACCCAAATTTAACCTGTTTTGGGTTGATTCATGTAAGTAAAGTAAGTAATTTATTAAGTTTTCAATGTATTTAAAACATTAACTTTCTTCTAAATCTTCTTCTCTCAAGTCATATTTTTCTCACCATTTTTCTCTTAAAGCAAAAAAAAAAAAAAAAAAAGATCTAAACACTTGTGGCCAAGAATATATTTGTGGTTGACCAGATTTTTGCTTCAGGGTGGAGTGCTTCTGGGTTTTCCGTTACGGTCTTCAACAGCGAGACACTAGTCTGAAACCATGACTGAACAGCATCACATTAAGAGTAAAATATCAACCTACGATCACTTTGAAAACATATTTAAAACAAAACCTGCTTTGTCCTGATTTCGAAACCGCATCAGTATCAACTGATGATAGCTAAAGATAATTAATATTGTTAAAAAGCACAAGATTCTTATTATGAGGTTACATAATAAGATTCATAGTGGAATGAATTTAATAAAATAATTGTGGCGGTGCGCACAGGTGGGGCTGCTGGGGGCCTGCTAGCACGCACCGGGCGGTGATCAGCAATCAGCCACCGGCTGATTATAAATCTACATATATAGAATATAAATGGGGCGACGGTGGCACAGGAGTCAAGTGCTCGCCCCGTAATCGGAAGGTTGCAGGTTCGAGCTTCGCTCAGTCTGCCGCTGTATCCTTGGGCAAGACACTCAACCCCCCTTGCCTGCTGGTGGTGGTCAGAGGAACCGGTGGCGCCAGTGCTCGGCATCCTCGCCTCTGTCAGTGCGCCCCAGGGCAGCTGTGGCTACACCGTAGCTCATCCCCACCAGTGTGTGAATGTGTGTGTGAATGGGTGAATAACAGATTGTGTTGTAAAGCACCTTGAGGGGTTCCAGGACTCTAGAAGGTGCTTATCAAATACAGGCCATTTACCATTTGCCATATAAAGGATGGCGCCGCAGGTGTAGAGCAGAGACTGGAAACAGACTGGAGGAGCTGGGTGAGCTCCTGTCTGCGTCTCAGCGTGGCAGCTACGCTAACCTGGGTGTGAGGTGTAAATACAGCTGTGAGCAAAGCAGAAGCTGCGTCTGTGTGTGGGTCTGGTTGCTGGTAAAATGCTACAATAATATTTCTGAATCACCCACAACCCCTCCAGGAGACTGGGTTATAGCAACAAAACCAGTGAGGTGATGTTTGGGCTCCAGCTTACTGTCGGACACAGGAGCAGACTGCCAGGATCATCATCTCCACTGTAGCACAGCATGTTTCACCTCAGTGACCACATAAGAAAAGGGAAGCTGAGTCAGAGGAATTAATTGAACCTCAATCTCCCAATCCCAGGGCAGACACTCTACCTAGGGCTGGGCGATATGGCCTCTAATCTATATTGCGATATAATCTGAAGCATGTGCGGTAACGATATATATTGCGATATATTTTTTCCTCTGTTTATGTATGTCAAAATGACATGCTTTTAAATATCCTCATGTGGCAAATAGATGCCACTTGAGGCATACAGGCCTCCACCTCTGCCCACTCCATGCTTGCAGTCACTGCCATTCTGTTGTCTCAATGTCAGCAGGGTGCACATCTTAGTGACATCATGTGTTATTGCGATATAGCCAAAAACTCTATCATTACCCAATTTTATATCGTTTCTACCTTATATCGTTTATATTGCCCACCTCTAACTCTAACACCAGGCCACTGAGGAGGTGTGTTCGTAATGACCTTGCAAGCATCTCTGAACTCACTTGTAACTAGTTTGTCATGCACAAAATTTGTTTATTATCACTTCTTTACGGTCTTTGTTTTCAAAACTGGTGCACCAGTGTTTATATGCACCAGCATTTTGTTGCTCTAGTGATCTGATCTTTGTTTGACAGCGTGTTTACCTTTGCCCCGATGTGTCGCATGGTGAGCCCTTCCTCTTGCGTGACTCTTGCATGGCAGGGTCCAGGGGGCTTTCCCCTACTGCGCTCATTTTCAGCTGAAACTGACCTAAAGAGATATCAAACACACACTTTTTATTAACTGCTCAAACAGAAAATGCTAAAAAAAAAAAAACCTCTTAATGTTCAAGAATTAAAACAACAGGTTTGCAAACAAAATGTGGTGAAATTCCCAAAATGCACAACTTGAATGTACTTTTCTTTAGAGGTTAAGGTTCCAGCATCTGTTCAGTTGACAGAAAACGTACTCTGAACATATTTATTTGGGGGTCTGCGTCTCTAACTTGTGTTAAAGATGCCGTATCATCCAGCCTTTTGCCATCCTCATTCTCAGATTCAATCACATTATGATAAATCAGGTCAATCAGAAAGAACAACTACAATGAGTGGCTGCTTTTTGTTTGAATAAATAAATAGTGTCAAAAGGCCACGCAACTTCTTTAAAAATAGAAAAGCTCCTGATACTTTTTTTTCCACATCAAAATGATTTTTTTCATCAGAATTTCATATTTTACAATCTAAAAATGTTTATTCTGAAAGTGAGAGGGTGGGGGGGTGGGGGTGGGGTTAAAATCTTAAATATAAAGTTCCTCTTTAAAAAAAACAAACAAAAAAAACAGAACAAGTCTTTCCTACAGAGGAGGTCTCTTCTAACGCAGGCACAGATCAGATGTCATAAACAACGGTGGATGTGGTCTCTGTGGAGAGTTCAGGTGCCTTTATTTCCACCACAGAGCTGACGTGAGGTGCAGAAGTGAGCAGCCCAATGTCTGCGTACACGAGTCCCACCAGCTACAACAGAGAACAACTCCGATATGATGGCACCAGTTTACCTGGATTCTGGCTTTATATGCAAAACCATGGAGTAAATAACATGTATAGCTTCAGAAAGCACAACCGTCCCTCTGCACACATCTTGGTTTCCTCCAACATGTTTTCAGTTTGCTGTTGTTTCATAACGTCTGGTGACGGGGTATGCTAAAAGCCTCCAGAAAAAGTTTTACTTGTGTTTTTACCATTCTTTCTATGCGCACACCAACAGTGTAATTTCTTAGCTGCACTTCTCTGGCTTCATCAGTGAGGTTGGCATGGCAACAAAAATGCAGCAAAACTTGCTGAAGACTTAACAAGGCTCCTGAATGATCCTTGTTGATGAATGCAGAACTAAATGTTTTATCTGACGTTAGATTTCATCTTTTGTAAATAGTTGTAGTAGATATTAATCAGGGGAAGAGCACATTTATTGCCAAACACTGCAAAGGTAAAGCAGATTTATTAGGAATTGGCAGAAAAAAGCAAAGAAATTTAGCAACTTTTACAGATATTTTTAATTTTGTTTACTGAAAAACAGTTAAATTCTATAATTCACATGAAAGAAATTAACTGCCGTTTAATCCGTGCAACAATGAAACAAAAACGTACTATAAATTTGTAAAAATATCTTCTGTTCTGGTCTACTTAAACATAAATCTGAAGAGTGAGTGCAAACACAAACAGAAACCCAGAGAACCCCTTTAAATCTCTGTGCAAAGAAAAACACAAACCACCATTGTTACTTGAGTATTAAGTATGGCTGCAAGCCGTGCCGCTCACAGGACAATAATTCTTTTTGACTAGCCTTGTTTACATTTCACCTCGAATCACCCCTCTTCTCCTCACTCCTTGTGCTGCAAACACAAAGCACTTAAAAAGACCCTTCCGCCACAGTGAGAAATGGGAGCGCTGCTGCAAATCAGCACAAAACACAAATTAGCCTTGTTTCTGGGAGGCCAGCACCCTCATTTAACGTAATAGCTGTGGTTTTATATGTTCGACCGCTCGGTGTCGTACTTCTCCCGCTATGTTTTCCCCCTGATTTTAATAGAAGTTTGTATTTTAGGGACAAAAGAGAAAACCACTGACTTTATTAAGCTTAGGGCGGAGATGGACCACATGTTCACTGGAGCAAAGTATTCGGCGGCTCATATTTTAAAAACTGTCGTTTGAGTTTAGTTTTTTCTGCGAAAACATGAAAGGAATAACCCGCTGTCCTCTTTTCTCTATCTTTTCTTTTCCTGTTTTTTTTCTTACATGTTTGTTTAGACTATTCTGGAGAAAATAAAATTCAAGAGTTTAATACAGAACTGATTTTATTTAGATATTTCTTTTATATGTACATGTTTAATCTTTCTTAACCATTTTTTCTAGCAAAGTAAAAAGTCTGTCAAAATTCTCCCTTCTCTCCTGTGCCCTCTGCTGCTCTGCCTCCCTCTGCAGCCTCATGTCCTCCCTGATCAGCTCTAGAAGCTGGTCATCGCTGTCACCTTCCCCTGGATGCGTCTGCTAAGCACATAAACATAAACATAAACATAAAATGGGCATCCAGGGGAAGGTGCCAGCGATGACCAGCTTCTAGAGCTGATCAGGGAGGACATGAGGCTGCAGAGGGAGGCAGAGCAGCAGAGGGCACAGGAGAGAAGGGAGAATTTTGACAGACTTTTTACTTTGCTAGAAAAAATGGTTAAGAAAGATTAAACATGTACATATAAAAGAAATATCTAAATAAAATCAGTTCTGTATTAAACTCTTGAATTTTATTTTTGTTTACAAATGTAAATCGTTTAATATTACCGGGTATCCGCTGGGTCTTGAAAAGTCTTAAAAGGTGATAAATCGGTTTTGGTCAAATTAAGACCCTTAGAAAGTATTAAAAACTATTATCACATCTTTGCTCAGGCTCAGCTTGTCGAAAGTATTTTCTCTGAATTAGCTCTCCAACAGTCAAGGAAATGATTAAAAAGCTAAATAAAACTTCGAGCTCCATCGTTTAAAGTTCCTTCTCCCTTCTGCTCAGCGGTTCCACGGTTGCTAGGCGACGGAAGTTCGCCGAGGGAGTGGCGGTAATTCATGAAGGCTAGGCCTGTCCAAATTCACAGCCGTTAACATCCGGTCTACTCGGCCGACGGAGGACCCAGCCCACGTTGGCCGAGTAGGCTGGGTCCTTCAAAGGACGCAGACCCTGAATTGAGACACAGCGTCTGTGACATCATATTTTATCGGCTAACATTCTAGAGTACCTCTTAGCCAATAGCGATGGCAGATTTAAATTCAACTGCAGTGCAGAGTTTTTACCTGACAACGGCACAACAGTTTTACAGTTTTAGGCAGAAATATTAAATTTGAACTGAAGTGCTAAACTATTGACTACACGTGTCTGCAGCAAAAAAATGTTGATTTGGGGGTGACTTGCTCTTTAAGTAAAAGTAGGTCATGTGTTTTATTGTGTGATTGTAATGAAAAACAAAGCTGCATCCAAACTGTTTCTGCTGTGATATGAAGCGGCAGCACTCAGGAAAAGGAGAATTTTCCCAGAATGCTGCTGTCATAACGACGTTCACTCCTGGATGTCGGCAATTTAGAATAATGTTGGTGTGTTTCTGGAACACGCTGAACCTATTAGGGTTGTCACGGTAACCGGTATAGCGGTAAACCCCGGTAAAAAAGTTGACAATAAAAATAACCATCCAGTTTTTAAAAAACTATATTATCTCGGTGGGTTTACCGTGGCCGCGGTTTCAGCGCGGTGACCCTTACCAGCCACCGTCGCTTCAGCTGAAGTTCCCGCGGCGCGCACACGCACTTTTTAGTCTGCAACGGCACCAAAACTTTGAAGCTGAAATAATGGCCGAAGGAGGAGACGGCAGCGCCCAGGACATCCATCAGCCCTCAAAGAAGACTAAATCGGAAGTATGGGCATATTTTGGATTTCTGAAAAATGCTGAGGGACAGTTAATAGAAGACGGCTATCCCGTTTGCAGAACGTGCAGGAAACAAGTGTCTGCAAAAGGCAGCAACACTTCGAATCTAATGGCACATCTGCGTGACCATCACCCACGTCTCTACAGCCAGTGCAAGGTAAGTTAACATTAGCATTTTAGCTGAAATGCATGACGCGAGGACTTTTGGCTGAGGGAGAATGCAACTATATACTGCAGCCGCAGCGTCCTCTGCCAGCATTTAAACCGTGTCACGGACACCCTGTTGCTGGATGAAGCATCTTATTTGTTGATGATGAAGAGAAATATACAATTAGTTCCTTGTCATTGATTTGTTTACTTATTCAATGCCATTTATACTTGAACATTTGGATTTGATTACATAGTGTAGTAGTTATTTTAGTAATTTGTTTAAAGTGGCTATTTATTTTAAATACATATTTTTTAAGGTTGACTTGTACAGTGCTCAAGTCAAGTGTGGACTGGAGTTTTAGATTTTCATTTTGATAATGAAGAAAACAAGTATATGAGAAAACAAGTGGTGTTTCTTTGATTTGTTTACATATTGTTTATGTTTCGAATGTTTGGATTTGTATCATTTAAACCTGCACTGACTACTGTAACATGTTCCAGAAAAAGAAGCTATTTGTTCCTTTACTTGTGAAAAGTTGCACTTTTGCTAAGGCTTTGTGTTATTTTAGGTTTAATAAACACTGTTAAACCTTTTCAGAACTATTTCAGTTTGTGTAGAACAGGACTATCAATGCTTTCTGAACATATGCAACACCATTTAAAAAATACCGCGATAATACCGAAAACCGTGATAATTTTGGTCACAATAACCGTGAGGTTAAATTTTCATACCGTGACAACCCTAGAACCTATTGACAGATAGCTTCCCGTAATCACATCTGGTCCACTCTCTACACTTAAATAGGTTTTCTTTATTAGTTCCAGTTCATAAACAGGCTGGAGCGACTTGTTTGTGTAATGAGGGGCTCGTCCTCAGAAGCCGGCGTCGCCCGTGCGTCCGCCTGTGTTTGACTGATTGTCACTGCTAATTTCAACCAGCGAGAAACGTGTTTCAGGTGAACAGAAGTAGTCTGAGCCAAGGCTAACCGCTCTGGTTGTTTTTCATCTAAAGATTGTTTGAAGGAACAATCCAAATACATGTTGAACTTTGCACTTGAAACATATGATAAAGAGTAGGGCCTCTCTGCTCCCACAGGACCCGGATTTCCGTCTCCAATGATCCCGAAGACACCAAGAGTGACCCATGAGCCCAATCACCTCA